TTTTTAAGTACCCTCAAAGCAGGGTGACTCACACTGAGTCACAGTTCTTAATATTCCTGGCTCTTTTTCACCTGTGTTTTAGATGAGCCATGTTTCTTACATCCTGTGTGTCTTGTTTGGGATATATAGTTCAGCTTTGAGCTAAAAAACCATGGCCTAACTAGGAGTTTTTCTCTCTCTCTCATGAAAAGTCTCTTAATAAATAATCCAGGACTGACAGAGTAGCACTGCTTCGCAAACCCTCAGGGACTGCTTCTATGTTTTTGCTCTTTTACAGTCCCTAAGAGGTACCTTTATCTCCATGGCCTAAGGTGGCATCCACAGTCCTGAGGGAAGAATGGACAGACACGGAGAAGAAAGGGCAGAAATCACCAGTTGTCACTTAAAATAGGTTTCTAGAATTTAATAAAATCTTATCAATAACTTGTTAGTGGAAATTATAGAAAAGATCTAAGCCCTCCTTCTAAAGCAGGACAAGAAACAGATGCAACACCAGCAAAAGAGCAAGAAAAATCCATGAACAGAGATGATCAAACACAAGTGGGAACCTGACGCCAGACCTAGTACGAAAATTGGCAGAACTCAGCTATCTTGAGGAGGTCTTTGGACCTTCCTATTTGTGGAAGAGAGTTTAAAATAATCTCTTCTAGATCCCCAGGAGAAAAGGCCTTAGCTAACATATGGGTTACAATACGAATCAGGCAGGCTTCAATACCAGCCTTCCATTTATTTATAAACCATCCTAGATACAGCTTATCGTGAGAGTATCCTTGACTGTCCTCCAAGTTGATATTTCCACACACAGAACCACTCTCTGGGCAAGGCAACAGTTATGCTGTCTCAAATGCCATGTAGAAGATGGCATGATGTAAACATAGCACCTACATCTTTAGTCTTCAAGATGACAGAAATTATACCATTTCAGAAGTGGGGAATAGGGGAAGAAAGGACAAGAGGGCTGGTACTAAAAGGTAAGGGGGATGGACTGTTTTGAGCATAGTGTCTGTTCTTTTAAAAAATTAGGTATTGCTGGGCATGGTGGCACATGCCTTTAATTCCAGCACTTGGGAGGCAGAGACAGGAGGATCTCTGTGAGTTCAAGGCCAGCCTGGTCTACATACTGAGATCCAGGACAGCTGGGGCTACAGGGGGAGACCCTGTCTCAAGAAGACCAAAAGAAAATAAAATTAGGTATCAAGCACATTTTGATGTCATTTTGTAACCACCAGATTAACAATTATAAGATATGACAAACGTGTTAGGGAAGACGTAGCCCAGTAGGATCTCTCATGCATTGTTGGTAGCAATGCATATTGAACCATTAATAGAGAAGATGGCTTCTGTAACTCAGAAACTAGCATTTCTGGGACTGGAGAGATGACTCAGCAGCTAAGAATACTGGTTGCTCTTGCAGAGGACCTGGGTTTGGTTCCTAGCACCCACATGGTGGCTAATAACTGCCTGAAACTCAAGTTCAAGGGGATTCAACACCCTCTTTTGACCTCTGAGGGCATTGCATGACACAGGTATGCTTACATAGATGCAGGCAATACACTCAGATACACAAAATAAAAATAAAGTAAGTAAAATGAAAAAACCCAAAGAAACACCGTTGTAGATTTTTGAAACATTTATTAAAAACTGGAAGAAAAAAATGATCAGAAATGAAGTGGTCAGAAATGGGAAGAAATGAGGGTTTGGGAAACAAAAGGTAGAAAGTGTGATGGTGTGGGAGGTTAAGGCAGAAGAATCATAAGTTCAAGGCCTACCTGGGATATAGAACCAGTTCAAGGTCAGCCTGGGCAATTTGAGATCCTGTCTCCAAATCAAAAGTAAAATGAGGGCTAGTGACATAGGTTCATGGTAGAGTACTTGCCTAGCATGAGCCCCAGAGTATTTGGCTCTGGGTCAAATATCCAGTACTAAAGAAATTAAAAAGCAAGAGTGTGCCTGGGGACGCAATCTACAGGGCAAAATGAAGAGGAGGAAGCTGGGACCCACTCTGAGGTGAGCAAGGCAGGCTGGTCCTCTGCATTGTTGTAGCAGTTCTCTGTGGGGACAAAGAAAGCAGACGTTTTAAAAGTACTTTTAAAGAGTATTTATTTATTTGTGTGTGCATGTGTGCAATCATGCATGTGTGCACACAGGGGGCTATGCCATGGATTGAGTGTGAAGGTCAAAGGACAAACTCTTGGGATTCAGTTCTCTCCTGTTACCTTGTGGGATCTGGGGACTGAACTCAGGTTGCGAGGCCTGACTAAAAAGGGCCTTTACCCACAGAGTTATCTCACTGGCTCAAGAAAGCATGTCTTGAAGGTGATGGGTTTATCTCTGTGGCTTTGGTGAAAGTGGCCAGAATGGAGTGGAAAGATGGTTGCCAAGTCTAAAGGAGGGCAACTCAAGCTGTTGGCTCTAGAGCTGGTGTGGAAGTTTTAAATCCCCTGAAATTGGGAGGCAGACACACTTTGGAGGAAGTACCTCAAAGGACTCCTAGAGTGCAGTGCCTCCTTATTACACAGCTGGTGAGTCTGAGGCTAGCAAGGGACAGAGCTTACAAACTGTGGGGGCAGCACGGTGAAGGGCCTATGGAATACAAAGTTGGAGGAATTAGTATTACAGGTCATTTAAACAAGAGGGAAAAATGAACATCGGATCATGGCCGTGGTGCTGCTGTAGAGTTCTTACCACTTGATGAGCAAGGAGCTGACATTAAGTGAATGGAGATCAGGGCAGGAACAGGGGGATAAGGACTGAGTTCCAGGAAGGCAGTTGGGCATACTAGGGTGGTGCCAGCCTGTATTCAGATCTCACATACCAGCTATGGAATCTTAGGCTATGTCTTCAACCTTCCCCAGCTGCTTTCTTCCTTTTCAGACTGAGGGTAACCACACTGAATTAAGAATATTAAGCATTACATGTCACCATGAATAAACATGTTTCCTAGAGTATCTGGTGCACAAAGTAGATGCTTAATAAATGTTAAGTCTCTCTTTTCTACCCTCTTCAAATACCTTTGGAGGTTCAATGGGGGGACAGCCACCATCAAAGGTGACAGGAGAAGGGACTGATGAGCCCTAGATTCTGATAGAACCAGGAAATGGACCAAATAGAGACAGAAGTAGAGCAGGAAGGCAGTGTGCTTGCAATACAAGTCGAAACCTTCCTATCAGTGTCACAGAGCAACTTGGATAGAACCCTGGAGAAGATGCTCTGAGCATTTCCTGAAGAATTTTATCCACCTGTGAGGGGTGTTGAATAATGGAGGTGCAGAATCCCTCTTTGACACATGAGATTTTTGAGTTGCCTGAGGACTTTCAAAGACAATCATCTGAACAGATATCAAGGCTCTTAGGTTTTAGTCTTTTCAATTATTAGTCTAGTCCTAGAAGAAAGCTTTATAAATATCCTTGATTTGGGGGCAATGTCAGCTATCTCTTAAAAGAAGGAAAAGGGAATCCCCTGAAATCAGTAACTAAGGCAAAACAAAAACAAAAGAAAACGCAAACCCCAAACCACTGAACTAAAACAATAACAAAATCCACAGAAAATCAAGACTATCCTTGGAAAGCTTTTAAATCATACTTGAGCTCGGAAGCCAACAATTAGCTAGAAGAACAGAAACTGAGGTATGGAGATGTGAATACCTTTATTCGCAGAAATATTGTTTATAAGAGCCAAAAAGTGGCTAAAGCTCAAGTGTTGATAAACAGATAAAATACGGGGTATACATACAATGGAGTATGGTTCAGCCTTTAAATAAAAAGAAATTGTGGCATGTTCTACAGCATACTAAGTGAAATCAGGCAGTCAGAAAGGGACAAATCCTGTAGTCAAATGTAGACATGGAAGATCAGCAAGCGCTCTGGGCAGGGGATGGGGAGTTATTTAATAGGTATAGTTTCCATTTTGCAAGATGAGAACATTCTTGAGACCCCTTGCACAGTGTAAATATACCTAATACTACTGAACTATATGCTTTAAATGGCTAGGCTGATACATTTCATGGAATAAGTTATTTTCCACAATGAAGAAAAAGTCAGCAATGAACTTCTTGTGTTTATCTTCATGTATTTATCAAAATTCAGCTCCAGGTCAATCTGCCTTATTTATTTAGCCTTCTCCAGTCAAACAGGCCTTTGTCCCTATGGTCTCCCTAAAAGGGCTTTAACTCTCTCCTCTTTTAATTTTTTGGTGTACTTTTGGCCTAGCATCTATTTTAATTCATATACAAGATGGAACTCCATGGTATCTCTCCTTCATTTCTCACTAATCATATTTTATAGTTGAGCTAATGAATGTGCTGTTGAAAGGCAGGGAGTGGGGTCTGGCTCCTAAGCCTCACAGAAAATGCCTGATGTTTGGACTGATGAGCTACCTTAGGGCAGTGCCAATCTTTCTACTCTTAAGCTATCAACACACACAAATATTTGTACTGAGACTCTCTGAGGTTTGGGGAGGAACTGCATGAAAATTGCATTTGTATCCCCCACAAAGAAGGAGCCTCTAATCAGCACAGCAGCAGTGGTACAAACAAGATAAAAAGGGCTGAATGTGCTGCTCAGTGTTGAAGAACTGCAGCCTTGTTTCTCTTAAATATTGGTTCTCAAACAACTAATATCACTTTGATGAAAAATGATTCCTTCATGCCTCTAAAGAGTACTATTGGGCAACAAATGGTTATCTCTGTTCACATTATCTGCAGTTGGAAGCGAAATGGAGTTTTGTCCAGTGTGCATGCATGTTTGTGTGTCCTCGGAGCACCCAGCATGCCTTGCCCCCAGGAAGTATTCAATAAATGGTTATTGGATTTAGAGAGTCCTTCTTTCAATCACTGAGGCTTAATCCATTTCCAATTCAGAAGGCCTATTAACTTTTCAGTATTACTAAGCCTTTTAAAAAAATCCATTTTGGGATATATTTAAGGGCTTCACAACAAATATTACTATAATGATTAAGAGAAAGCTGTTAAGTGAAGCATGATTATTCAACACACCGGTAGCCACTGGTAAAATGTGATTTAATTTAATCATTTAAATTTACATTGTTAATGTACAAGAGCATTTCTTTCAAACTACAGGTTAACACACACTGAAGAGCAATGCTGTTAGAGGAGAGGGTCTCAGGGAAACTTGGCTGTCTGAAATAAAAGCAAGGCACTCTCCATTAACAGCGGGTGAGTTCCTGATTTCTGCCCGCTGAGGGCGGGTTCACACTGAGAGAGCGCTCCCTCAAGGGGAAGAATCACCTGCTTTAATGCTTCTTGGCCTCTTCGGAGCTAGTGTGCCATCTACTCTGAGTACACTTGTGTGTCAACATTAAGAAAAAAAGGAGTTGAGTTGCTGGATGACTTGGGAGGCTCTCATAGTTTAACAACTATGGAAGACAGAAGAACACTGGCTATATATAATCTTTCTTTTCAGAACTAGTGTCTGAACCTATAATTAAAAACAGCTTCATCATTTCTTCAAACCAGTAGACAGACACCTCAACAGTCCTTTCCCTTAAATCCGATGGGTGTGAAAATAAATAGGAACAGCATTTCTCTACGACTCTGTGTTTTTTTGTTTTTTTCTTTGCTTTTGTGCCACAGATATGACAGAAACAGGATTAACTTTCTGAATACTCACGGTGCACAAGAAGGTTATGTATGCACAGTACTTCTAATTTATGCAAATTCAATTTGAATTTGGTCTGAAGCGATCTTGCGTGAAATGTTAGCTTTCCTGATATTTAATAATGTTTATTATGTTTGCATATAAGCTCAAAAAATTAATGCAATAAATAATAAATAAAGTACTACTTTATTCATGGCTATCTTCAGGTAAAATACTAATATCAGTGGTTATGTTTAAAAGTCTATCTTCTTACAGATGCAGTGAGTTGAGGGGGAAAGAAAAGGACTGTGGAAAGGTGAATTAAGTCTTAGTCTTGATTCTGTTGCTAGCTGTTTGGCCCTGGGTAATTGTTCACCCTTCAATCGGCCCCAGTTTTCTCCTCTGTGAATTTCAGGAGACCCGACTAGTTGATAACCCAGGCTCCTTCCAAGTCTAACATTTCCAAATCCTAACATTCTAGGCCCTATCTTATTGATATAAAAATAATAATCTTTCATAAAAGCTCACACAAACATAATACATGATCAACTATCAGAATTATTTGCAAAAAAAAAAGAGATATGATTCGTCATCTGGGTTATACTTTGCAGCAATTAGGTAATTCATTTGGCATCTGTTTGATTGTATAATTTAATGACAATATAAACAGCATAGTTTTGTTATTTTTTCCTTTAAAAGACTAAAGCAAAAATGATTTAAAGCTAACAAAACTACTGCGGCATCAGTTTGACATTCAAAGTTTGTTTCTTAGCAAAATGGCCAAAGGTATTTTAACTTGATACAGAGTATATAATATAAAGACTTTTTAGACCTAAAAATCTTCAAACATTATTTGAATTTAGCAAAACATAAGCAAAATTTTAATATCAAAGTGCTAAACAGTACTGCCTTAAAAGTCACTGCAAATGAACCATAAAATAACGGCATGGGAAGTGACATTTATTGTACAAATGGTTAATAAAAAGACACATTATAAATATATATGTAACCTGCTATATTTATATATATATATGCTTATTTAATTTCTAATTGGTGTATCCAAGTCACCATGAACACCCCATTTGATTATTTTGTAACTCAGCCTCCAGAAGCTGGTGGTCTTACAATAAATACAGGCAAAGCTATTACAATATAACGTGCATACAAATGTTTATACAAATATGGACACTATGCAACAAATTCTCATAATAATATGGCATTAACAGTATAAACATACAAAAGGGAATACGAACACGGAATGTTGAACCGCGGCCCACTAATCTTTTTCTAGGACTTACATTAACACTATTTTTTTTTAAAGAAGACTTGCTTGCTCTCCAAAACTGTCTCTTTAACCAATAACAAATATATCCTTATCTCTGGTGCTTACCCTGTATGACCCAGTTCCTACTAATTTGCATGTTTTCATCTGGGATCAAATGCTTGATTGATTCACCCAGCACTCCTTGGGCTTTTGAATGGATGAAATCAGTAAGTTGCTACAACTGATGTTAGTTTAGAGAACTCTGTCCGGGTTGACAGAACACAGTCAAAGCAGTTGTTTGTAATCCATTTTATAATCTGATCCTGCTTCAGGATAGCTGGATAGTCGGCGGGGATCAAATTCCAAGAATGGCCTAAAAGACTCAGATGGGCCATACCTCCGAAGGGTTCTACAGGGCAGGTGAATCGAGCCTTTGCTAGGAAACTTAGCGTGTCATTTGCTGACATGACTACCTCCTTATTTCCATATAAAATAAAGGAGAGTTCATAAACAAGACTTAGTAAGACAGCACTTTAAAAAATTGCACTTGTATATGGAAGCAAACAGCCATTATCATCTTGTTCTGTCTGATTTGTAGATAATCTTCCATCTTTTGCCATTTGTTTAAAAAGGAAGAAAGAAATTAAGAAAAGGGAATTTTCTGCCTTGTTTGCACCACGTATGTTCCCTTGATACAGGAAGTATATCCTAAAGGGAGCACTCTTAAGACACATCCTACCCTGGTGAGCAACCCTTGGCTATTCTTATTTTTTAAATACAAAGCAACCATAATTATATTCCCCAGAAAAGAGTTTTAAAACAGTTATATTATTCTTTTTTCCCCTCTGCTGGGATAGCATCGTCCAAAAGTGCTTTGTTAGCAATTTCTTAGAAAAGCCTGATGAACTATATACCCTCCCACCCCACCCTCCAAAGCCTAAATATAAAACACAACCCCAACACAATACTCTGCAAGTTTTCTGGCTTTAAGCTGTAAGGAAAGGTGCCAGGAAATAAAAAAGTCTCTGCTTTCTATGGGAGCTACTTTTTCTCTGAAGGAGGGACAAAAAAATGGTAGGTGTCCAGACCCATCCCTTTGCTTGCTTAATGATCAGGTGTCAGCAGAGCAAGCAGCTCTCTGCTCAGGATGTCCCTGTTCAGAAAGGCAGGGTATCAAGGAAGAGTTTGTCAATGACAGAGGGCGGGGACACCAAGTCCTCCAGCTTCAGGTAGAAGATGCGCTGGAGGCCCTGGGTGCAGATCTTCCTCAGTTCCACTAGTGCTCGAAGGACCTTGGGCTCCGTAGGTTCCAGAGCCTGTCCCTTACTCTGGTGGTCTTTTAAGCTGCTCGTGATCTTGTTGCATAGCTCCTCCACTCTCTTTGGTTCTTTTAACCCATGTCGTTCTGCAGAACGATAGAAAAGTGTTAAGTTTAGGAGGCAGGTCATAAGACACTCTGAAGCCCGTTGTCTTGGTCCTTTTCTGCTAGGTGGCTTAGGCATTTTACAAGCAAAATGCCTTTTGTGACTTAGAGTGATAGCTTAGTTAGTAACTCGGTCAGGACCTTTGTTCAATTCCCCAGAACCCACATTAAAAAAACAAAAAAACAAAACAACAGGTGTGGAGGCACAGGTTTCTTATCCCACCACTAGAAAGGCAGAAACTGGAGGGCCTCAGGGCTTGCCGAGCAGCCAATTTAGCTGACTTGTCACAGGCCAATGAAAGACCTTATCTCAAAAAAACCAATGGGTTAGGTGTGGTGGTGCACGCCTTTAATCCTAGCACTCAAGAGGCAGAGGCAGGAGGATCTCTGTGAGATCGAGGTCAGCCTGGTCTACATAGTGAGTTCCAGGCCAGCTGAGGCTACAGGGAGGCTCTGTCTCAAGAAAGCAACAACAAAACAAAACAAAAAATCCAGGTGGATGGCACTTGAACAATGACACCCAAAGTTGTCCTCTGGCCTCCATACACACACAGTACACACATACACACACACACACACACACACACACATACACACACACACACACACATACACACACACACACACACACACACACACACACATGGGCAAAAAAATCTAAAACGAAAAGTCCTTCCTCTAAAAGGTATAAATAACACTAATTTGAAGTTAAGAACTGCCACTTAACTTGCTCTGTGCCCTTACTTCTGAACCTGTTTCCCTATGAAATGAAGTTAATGATCATGACCAATTCCAGGTTTCCAGGAGGGTCAACTTAAGTGAATAACACAGGAGAAGAACATAGTTCCTGGCACATAGCCATGTTAAATACATGGCAGGGTGGTTCTTATTGTGTGTGCATTATCCTGCTGAGGTCTCACAAAAGTCCTGTCAGTGGGCACCTCCTTTTCACAGTGATATGAAAACATGTCTAGGAAAGTGAATGAATGTCCCTATCCTGACAGACTCACTTGAAGGAGGTAGAGAAGCTGCACATTCTAGCCACTAATATAAGCCTCTCAAGGCTGGACCCGGAGTGCATCCCTATGTTTCCATAGCTGATTTTGGGGGAAAGCCAGCTTTTCTTTTCTTTGTTTTGTTTATTCCCTCAAAATACCTATTGACCTAGACCTGGAACTCTGTATAAAATGCACAGGTCCTCCTGCTGCGGAGACGGAAAAGTCAAGCAGAGAGAAGGAAGCCTGGAAGGACTTGGAACATGCATTTTACAATCATCAAGACACTAAGAGCAACCTTTACATTCTACAAAACAACACAGAAAAGAATTCCCATGTTAAATATTAAGATCTTCGTAAAGCTGAGAGGCGTTTCCAGTCACACAGTTGTGGAAAGCAACTTCCAGGCAGATTTTGTCCTCTGGTTGCACTGTTGGGTGTCACAAAGATGACAAAGGAGTCAAACATCTGATACAAGTGACTTGTTCTTCCTTAGCCTGTAGACAACAGAACCTCTTTTTTTCTAAGGGAAGAACTTGGTCTCAATTGTCCCAAAGTTTACCTCCATTGGTATATGTACATGTAAAAATAACAATTTTTTTATTTATTTATGAGTGTCTATGTGCTTGCATGTGTACATGTACGTATATGTTCATGCACATCACATGTATATGAGTGCATGGGGAGGCCAGAGGTTGATGTCTGAGGTGTCTTTCCTCAATCAGTCTTCACTTTATAAAAAATATAATTTTTGAGAGGCAGAAAACATCCTTTTAACAGGTAATCAAGCATTAATTCCTACTGTCTCCTGGACATAGTTGCTTTAGTTGGAGATACTTTCTTAGAAAAGTTATTTCCCAAAAGTAAAAGCTAAAAGAAATAACTACTCAGGCATGTTTCTCTTTTCTTGTTCCAGATAAGAGAGGCCTATAGACCAGAAAATCTCCTCTTCCCCAGGATGGCTAATGTGACTTGGGCATGTTCTTTCCTTGATAGGGTCTTATCAAGCGATGAGGCTGGATTAAGGACCTCTAAGGCCCCTTCTGGAGCTGATGTGTTGAGATGCACTTAAGTATAGCAAGAAAATCTCCAGCAGTATCTCAGTAGATTATAACTTGCAGGTGTACCATCTTAATGATAACACCTTCTATAGAGAATCCTTGGGTTTGGAACTGAATCCAGCTCTAGTTCTGTCCTTTGTTAGCCATGGGACCTAATCTCTCTTAGTTGTATTCTTCCTTTTCATCTTAAACATTATATGATAAACTGACAGAAAAGTGTGATTATAATAAAACCCACCTCCTTGCATTGTTGGGGACTCAACTAAGATGATGTCACAGAGAAGTATTTTGCCCACCCAAGACAATGGCTGACACTCGGCAAGCAGGTGGCAACTACCAGACCAAACAGACAACAGAGCCTCCTAGTTCCCAAGCTTTGCAGTTCTTGACTTTACTTTCCCTAGGAAGCTATTAGTTCATCAGCCCAGATGCAAACCACACTTTCCCCTTGGCTTATCTTTACTCAGTGCACAGACCCTGCTTCAATCTCAGAAGAAGCACCCAAGAGTGAACTTGGAGAAATTCTGCCTTCAGTGGTGTTCTATCTAAAGTGTTATTTGTTCTCCCCAAAGCATAACGTCAGGCTGCAAATTTGGCAGTAAATTTCAAGAGCTATAAAACGTTCATAGCCTCTGACCAAGTAATCCAGTTCTTGGGAATTTATCCAAAGGAAAATTTCCACAGAAAACTCTAAAACTGGGTGTATGGAAACATTTGGTGCAGCATTTATCGATTACCACCTCACCCCCCAAAACCTAAACAACCCCTGGGTAAAGATGACAAGTTGATGAACAGGGGAACTATACAGCAAATATGGCATACCCATGTAATGGAAGATTCTGGAGACATCAAGAAGGACAAGTATGAAGATTATGAAACAACATGGAAAAATACAGATAACACTAAATAAAAAGGCTAATACTAAATAATATCTAAGTTCTGACTACATCTATGAAATATTTTTTTCCGGGGCTAGTGAGATAGCTCAGCAGGTAGAGGGCATTTGTTGCCAACCCTGGTGACCTGAGTTTGATCCATGGAACCCATATAGTGGAAGGAGAGAACCTGACTCCTGCCTGCTGTCCTCTGACCTCTACAACGCATGTAAGCATGGAATGTGGGCTTTTGTACACATATACCCATAATACACAAATATGTGTCAAAATTAATTTTTCTTCATATTGAAGATGAAGAGAAAATGTGAAAATATTTATGAGATGGTTGGACGGCTTTTTTACCTTTCTATTTGGAGAAGAATGTCAAAATGGAACAAAATGGGAGATGGTCCTTTGTGCAGCCCTGCCATACCTATACCATGACCAAACACCATCTTGCTGATATTAAATTCTGTTAATATTGAGTTATGTCAAATTTGATTTACAAGCCAGGGAGAGAGGCTTTTCTCAAAATCAAATGCCAGTCCATTCCTATTCATTGCCGCTTTCCTTTCCTTCAGGGTCTCCTGCCTTATCTAAGACTCCACACTCATCAGGATGAAGAAACTGAGTAGCTCGTTGCATTGGCTGTATTTGGGAGGGGGCTGATTGTGGAACCTCAGAGCCAGACTTTCTCATGGCCAAACTCACAGAAGGGGCCATGGAGTTTTCCCTGCTCTCCAGCCAGTCGTGACTGCTCAATAACTATGGCAACCATTATTTATTCAGTGAATTCAAGTGGAGATCGATACCTCCTGCCAGCTGGATCAACGAAGGTCTGGAATTCCTTGAGGAATTCAGAGACACTCCTGTTAGAAGCCAAAGGCAGCTCAGGCCTTCTTTGTTGTTTCGAACAGCCACAGGATTTGTGGCTTCTTCACTGTTCCAAAGGAGCTCGGATAAAATGCAGTCTCCATGCAAACTCCTGCCAGCAACCAGCAAGGTTCAGATCACCAGGGAGTCACTGAGTGTTTCGGGCCTTCCAATCATTTAAAATTCCTTTAAACCCCAATCACTGACATTTAGTTGAAGGGACTGTCCCCCGAACCCCCTTGCAGCTTGGCAAACAGCTACAGAGAGTAGGGGGTAGGTCAGATATTTGGATTTTCTACTTTCCTAGAGAATTATCTACAGAAGATTTTAGTTTAAGATTTTTCTGCATGTTGGAAACGTAGCTTAGTGGTACTTGCCTAGCATGTGTGAGGCTCTGGGTTTGATTCTCAGCATTGAAAATAATAAAGTTCCTCATCATGTAACCAAAACAAGCTTCTTGCATTTCTAGTTACCTAATATTTCCCTTGCCTGTCAGTATTTTAACTCTAGCACTGTTTTGAAGTACAACTTTGAAATACTACTTAAAGTCATGGTTAAGTAATAGACATATGTCACGAAAATTGTGTATGTAAATTGGAAGGGATTTAATCCACTTTGTTCAAGTTGGGTTCCAGCCGAACTGGCAAGTCCACCACCATTTCAACCTGTTAATAAAATACATTAAAAGTCCTTACACTCTACTCTTTTGCTTAAGTTATTGTATTTCATTCTCACAACAACCTAAGAATGAGGCAAGGCAACATTATCTTTAATTAATATATAAGAAGACTCAAAAAAATTAGTGACTTGTCTAGGGTCAAAATTAACAAGTGGCTGCTTTCTTTTATACCAAATCCAGACAACTTCAATTATAGCAGGCTACCTGCCTTCTCTGACTGCCTCTAATTGTTAGAAAGTTTCTCTTTATCCTGGGATGAATTGCCCTTCGTATAACAACCTCCTACTTTCTGTGCACCTAATTAACTAATGGTTAGTTATTTCTTTTAGCGGATGCTTATTAAGTACTTGCTCTATGGCAAACAGCACTATAGACAGTGGGGTCAGAGCAGAGAAGAAAACAGCACAAGTGGAGGGAGGTTAGCATCTAAAGGCACGTTGGGATTCCTGTGCATTTTGGCTGTCCATGCCACAGATGGCTCTGCTGAGCCAGAAAGAGC